ACAAATGTTGAGATGTGCAATTACAATAAAATCACAAATTTAAAAAAAAATTGCAATATAATCCTAAAGCTCTTCTGGAAAAATAAATATGCAAGAATAGTTAAGAGATGCCTGGATAAATACTTTCTGCCTCACAGAGCAAGGATGCTATGTATTTTAAAAGTTATCCAACTCCTTGTGGCTTAATATCATGCCCATGTTTGGTGGCTTTGTACATGTTTATAGCAATCCCTAGCTAAGTGATCTTGGTTTACAATAGATTCTTAGGAGGCAACACGGACTTTATACTGAGCAAGAATCTTCCAAATTTATTCTCTCATTACAACATGAGATGCAGATAAACTGCACTTACTTAATGGGCTCGGATTTTAAATATTTAGTTGTGAACTAGATGCCGGCAGAAGGTCAAGTTATATACAGTATTCTGGAGGATAGAGAAGGCCTTGTTTGAACAAACCTAGAACGTGCAAATTTGTTTGTCAATATGCCCCAAATCTCCTCCAAATAATGGGAGTTTAAGAGCTTATGAATCAACCCGAACAGCTTGCTGATGATCATTTGACAGACTGTGTGGGAAATTGAGTTTACTTCAAATTTATGAACTGATGGAGCTATTCCTTATAGTGATTAACAATGAGTCATAGAAGAAACCAAGGGTCACTCTCAGGCACATGTGCCTAATGTCAGGTGTGGAGAGAGTGAGAACAGTTGTAGAAGAGGTAAAGGTCTCATGACAGTCTGTTAGCTAATTTTCATTTTTAAAGTGAAGACACAGACTGGAAAAGTTTTAAGGCAAGCTTAGTACCTAAAACATCTCCAAAATGGGTGCTTTGTGAAAAGCCTGGGTCGCAATCCCCAGAAGATTATTATTAATATAAGAAAGCAATAACTCAGAGGAAGCTGTAATAATATCACAATATGTTTACTTAATTTGGGGACTCAGAATAGGGTACAAGTGCGGGGAGCATAGGGCAGTGCACACATTGCTCTGATAATTGATGTTTCTACCTGAAAAACACATCATATACACATTCCAAGGCCCAGATGTGAAACACTTAGAAAAGTATATAAACAGTAACTGAAGCAAATAAAAAATGGTTAAATAAAAAAAGACACAGAATCCACCTTCCAAAAGTGATGTTTGTAATGCAGTCAACGTTAGTCATGTTAAAAAGAGTAATTAACAAAATTAATAATATTTACTTAGAGTTCTTTTGACAGTTATTTGTCCAACAGATATTGACCATCTACCATGTGCAGAGACTGTGCTAAGCACCTTAACAGGATGAGCTCATTCTAACATCCAGAGAATTAGAGGTAAGTATTGTTATTNCGACAGTTATTTGTCCAACAGACCATCTACCATGTGCAGAGACTGTGCTAAGCACCTTAAAAGGATGAGCTCATTCTAACATCCAGAGAATTAGAGGTAAGTATTGTTATTTTCCATATTTTATAGATAAGGAAACCAAACATAGAATGTAAAATTCTGTCCAAGTTCATACAGCCAATGAGGTGTGGACTTGGGATTCAAACCCAGTTTTCTGGTACTAACAACAGAAGCGCTGACTGCTAAGCTAAAAAGAATATCAGCTAAGATCCATACTATTAAATGAACAAATATTTTAAAAATCAGAATGAATATTTTTAAATTGGTTTTTAAACAAAAATAATTTTTTGTTTAAAAACTTTCCATTAATAACCTTTCTGGGTTAATTCTGCCTGTAGTAAGACCAGAAAATAACCCAATGTTCCTTCTCCTCCTTTTTACAAAGAGATGTACTTTAAAAATATCAATTTGACCATAATTATTAAGTAACTACGTCTGCATTTCTGAAACTGTTAAGCACATAGTTCTTAGCCCTAAAATCAGACACTATGGAGAATATATATACACACAGAGTATTTTATAATTAACATTTTTTAAAAGACTAATATATATAAAACAATTAGAAATAATATTGGGGTTAATTTTCTGAATGACTCTGCTTCAACAATTAATGAATAAAACTTGATAAAAATAGCTCTTTCTCTAAAACAGCGATTCTCAAAGTGTGGTCCGAGAAAACCTGGGGATCCCCACTGCCCTTCCACATGGTCTTCAAGGTTACCTTCACCACCGTCTTCATGTGGCGTTTTACTCTCATTGTCATGAGTGTATGTAGGTGTTTCCCATGTATTATGTGCTTGAAATGTAAACACCTAACTTTTCCAACTCCAACAAAGTGCTGAATCTCGGGGAAAGACCAGAGCTCTGAAACAGGCTTTCCAAGTTCACTGAAATGGTCTCCGCATTGCTTCTTGGTCCCCGCACAGCCCCGGACACAGAACCGTCAGTCTGTGCTGGTAAACGCACCACCTTCCAGAGCAGCGGCTCTGCAGGCGGAGCAGGCCCCGAGTCTCCAGGAGAGCTCGTGAAACACGAGGGCTGGGCCCCAGCCCCAGATATTCTGATTCAGTAGGTCTGGGGTGAGTGCTGAGAGTCAGCGTCTCCAGCTGCAGACCAGCCAAACTCTGACCCCATCCAACTGGCTGGGCCTCGAGTGTGTGACCTACTCCAACCTTTTCAACTTCCCGTGGACTGTCCTCTTCCATTGCTCTTCAAGAACTCTCTCTGCCAGGTTAAAACTGCTCTCTGATAATGCTCGTGGAAAAGCTTTCGAAACATTTGGCATTAAAGGTTCTTTCTAGAAGTTCACGTGTTGGAAATGTTACTTGGAAATTTTAGTCTGAAAATGACTGCTCGGTAACTGCAAAGTGATGCAGGTGAAACCCTTGGACAACAAGCGAATGTCTGGGAGCCACCCTCAATACTGTTCCAGGCAGTATCTGAAAAAAAAAAAAAAGAAGCAAGGGTTCAAATAAAAATATTATCTGCGACTGCTAAGAATTTGCCTTTCACGATACTCACAAGAATTCCACGAGGCAGAGGAATCTTTGAGGGCCTGTTGTCCTAACAGAACGCTTGCCAGCATCCTAACAGAATTAGGAAGTCCCCCTTGAGCTGCCCTCTAGACATGAGCACACACAAAAGAAGGCTTCAGCTGAAATCCTAAGCAAATAAAAGCCAAGTGAGGAAAGTGGAACATTAAATTTTAGAGTTGGCAAGGAGCAACATTTTGCAACCTTGAAGATATTATTTCACTAAGAGTTGGAATGCCACAAAACTGCAAATTTGACAACTAAATGCTCCCCAAAGGTGAAGGCTTTACCTGGAAAAAGATCTAAAATGCAATTATTTAGCCCAGGTTAAGAGGCACCAAAGTCCTATGTGATGAGGTCTTGGGAGGAAAGGTAATCTGTAGAAAAGAGGGAACAGAGAAAATTTATCTGGGGTGGGGGCATTTTAACACACTCCTTAGATGGGCTGAGTTGTGGAGCTATTCTTATGTTTCTCCTTAGGGATTTAGCATTTCCATCCAGAGATCTTCCCTGAGCAATTCCGGGCTTCTGTGAAGCTGTCGGCACTGATGCGATGACATTTTACCTGCTCTCTTTATATTTCTCTTTTCTTAGATCTGGAATTCTCAAATGTTTCTAAACCAAGAACTTCAGAAAGATTCCAAAGCCACTCATGCCTCGTCGATTCAATTCACCCAAGTTGATTCAACAGGACACTGTAGGGTGCCTGTTCCATGTGACACACCACATTAAATGTTTTGGGAGAAGAAAAGATGAGTCTGGCATGGATTTTACTCCCTAAAAGTCTTATATATGGTCTGGTTGAAGAAATAAGTTGCCCACATTTATTATGATGGAATAGAGGCAGCAGTGATGAGGGGTGCAGGAGAGGCAAATATAAGGCCCAATGAGAGTTGAGCGGTGGGGGTGAAGGGCAGGAAAGTCTGTAAGGAAAGGGGGGTATTTCAGCTGAGCTTTGAGAAATAGTCAGAACTTGGCTATGTAGACCTCATGGAGGGCGGTTTTATTAAATTTGCATGACAGTATCTATATACGCACAGCAAACACGGCTCAATCGCCCAGAATCAATCCCCCATGAGTCGGAACATCTCATTCACACAGCAGTCCCCCCAAATAAATGCCTTCTTGGAATTCCAATAACATCTCTGTCTAGAAATATTTTAGAAGGTTTTTTCCCCTTCCCTGGGTGTTCAGTTTCCTAGTGTGAACCCCAATGCTGCAGAGCACACATTCATGTTTGTGTCTTGTCCTGAATAAATTCTTAAGAAGAGCCATGCTGAGATTTATATTATTTGTATACAAATGATGCATTTGAGAAGGGAGAGACCTCACAAATCTGGCTGCATCTAGACTCTCTTTGGAGAATAACAGAGAAATCACCTCTGGGTAAATTTCAAATCATCTCGGTGTAAATTTCATGTCCCAGGGATGCCTTTCCAGTTGAATGATTCCAACTTCTTTGTCATGGAAGAAAAATACTTGAATTCAAAAGAAGAGAGGGATAGATTGAAAGGGGGAGGGAAGGTGGGGGGAGAGAAGGGGAAGAAAGAAAAACAGGGAGGAAAAGCCCAAATGAAACAAAATAAAGAAGGAGGAATTTGTTTGGAAATGAGAAAAGCATAAAAGGGGGCAAGGGAAGAGACGGAGAAGGGGAGATAAGGTTGGGTGACAAGGAACCTTTTTAAAATAAGGCAAAGCCTTCTGCCTTTCCCTACTGGAAAGTGCCATGGATTCTTCTGGGGATGTTGCTCCCCATGGGCACACCCATTATCAGGGTTCCAAACCATCTGTCTGGCCCAGCCTTTGGCATTCCTGCCCTTGTGGGATAGAGGGAGCACAGACAGAATGCATGGGCTGGAGGAGGCGATGCATGCCAGAGAGGCCTGCAAGGCAGGGAGGAAACACCACGCTGCCCCAAGAGCCAGACACCTGTGTAAACTGCAGGAAGCTGAGAGGAGCCCAGCTGAGCTGATGGAGACACCACATGCATGGGGCTGGAGGAGGCGAAGTCACATGGAGACAAAGGCAGGCTCATGTGCATACACACACACACACACACACACACACACACACACACACGTCAGTCAAGAAAACGAACAGAGACAGACTGACTGGTCTGGAAAGGGGCAGAGAAACATTGAGAGGGAAAAAGCATTTTGAAGACAGAAAATTACCCCTCAAAACGGTGTCTAAAGGAATATGACTATTTTTAAATGTCCTTGTATTCCATTTTGGTAGAAATTTATTTGCTACATCAAAAAAAGAGTAAACAACACCTTTCCTAGGGTTGAATACCCAATTAATTTAACTTTAAAAAGCTTTCAAAACATTTGGCATAAAAAGTTCTTTCTAGAAGTTTATGCATTGGAAATTAGTTGGAAATTTTAGTCTCAAAATGATTCCTCAGGACTGCAAAGTGATGCAGGTGAAACACTCGGACAACAAGCATATGTCTGGAAGCCACTCTCAATACTGTTTCAGGCAGTATCTAAAAATTAAAAAAAAGAATTTGTCAAACGTCTGACAGATGGGAGCTCACATAAAAAACATGTATAGGTGTTTTATAAAATACATATGTCCAGTCCCCGCCCCAGACCTACTGAATAAGAATTTCCAGGCATGGGGGCTAAAAAAGGGGGGATACTGATGCCCACTCCTGCGAGCATGGGAGGGGCTTCATTCTGTTTAGAGGAGCCCAGAGTCTGTCTCTGGGAAATAAAAGTGCTTACCTGCTCTGTGTTTTAAAGGGCACACCTCCAGTGCACACCCGAACATGTAGAGGGAAACTGTGATAAAGATCTTGAAATTTGAATTCTTAGGAAAAAAGTACAATATAAAAAAGTTAACACCAAGGACGTTCACAAATGCTCTAGTCTAATATGATTAAGGTGTAGTAATTCTCACTTACTTAGGCATGTCTATTCTCCTATTTGTGGTACCCAAGAGCAGAGTGCAAGACAGTGTTTCCTAAAGTATGTTGCAGTTCATGCTGATCCCCCAGAAGACTCTTAGAGAAAAAAGTTAAAGGACATTGAGAACTCCTACATATTTCCCCCAGCATCCCACACATACAACCACCACCACAATCCAATAAATATTAGTATTTAAGACATTTTTAAAAAACCTATTAAATTTACTTCAAAACATGTTTTCTAAACTTATGTGACCACAGAACCAATATTCAATATAATGCCTGTAATTATCATGAGAAACTAGTATTACAAGAAATTCACTTTTAAAAAGCATTAGCATCTGTGTAAAGAAAGGTCACCAATCATAGCCTCATTTTTTAAAAAAGAGGCAAAGCCAGTGATCTGCAAAATTATGAAGCACAGGAAAACACAAGCATATGTTAAAAGCAGATACACCGGTATTCAGTATTTTCCATACTCTAAGTTCCTAAACTAACCTTAAGGTGAAGATCAAACAAAATTATTTTCTGATACATTAAAACACACACACAAGGCTTTCTGAGAAATTAGAAGTAAACACAGAACACAGCTCCTGGGCGTATCAGACAGGAAAATACATCTGGCTAATGCACAGAAGTACATTGTAAGCTAAGGACACCCTGAAAAGAAAGCCATTAGTAGGACAAGGGGAACTTGGATGAGCCTCTTCTCAGATGGTCAGGGTGACCTGCTGCCCAGTTGGTTGCATTGTAGGGTGGGATCTGGTCCCGTGTGGTCCCTGTCCCTTGTCTCAGTCCCTCACATGGAGCCAGCGCCCAAGGAGGATGACTGGCAGTAGGTCAAATGAGCTATTGGTGAAAACACTGGGTTGATTCATAACTGCATAATTCACCAGCTCACACACATCTGTTACACAAGCTCAGNTCCGGGGCCTCCACGTTGCAGCTGGTCCCTGTCCCTTGTCTCAGTCCCTCACATGGAGCCAGCGCCCAAGGAGGATGACTGGCAGTAGGTCAAATGAGCTATTGGTGAAAACACTGGGTTGATTCATAACTGCATAATTCACCAGCTCACACACATCTGTTACACAAGCTCAGCTAGCTTGATAGAAAGGCCTTCTGAGAGCCCCAGAAGGTGGGGCAAATCTGGTTTGAGAAAGGAACACAGGATGTGAGACAAAAGTCTCATGAGGGGCATTGGGAAGATGGAAAGTTAACAAGAAAGGTAAGAATGTACAAACTTTTCTTTCTAGACTTAATGAGCCAAGAGAAAGGAAACTCCTAAAGTCATTCCTGCGTGGCATACATAATTGGTACTGTAAAAGGAGCAAATAAATAATTCTTTTTTTTAAGTTGGGCTTTTTATCATGGAGGGTGGCTTTTTACACATGGTTTTGGAGCAAATGGTTGCTAGGAAATATGACAGAATAAGGAAACAGACTGTAAGTGATATTTGGGGTGTGTGCAAGATGATCTAATATAACTAAATGTAACTAAATACATTCCATGTCCCTGGTTGATTTGGCATCAGCTTTAAGTCTTTATTTTGAAATTTCCAAAGCACACCTCTCCAGCTTGGTTTTAGAATGTGAAACCCGAGAGTCATTCTTTTAAAACCCGGTGTCCACATGGTAGGTGATGGTGGTGAGGGAGCAATGCAGCAGGACACTAATAGAAAGTCCGCTGGGTGGTGGATCGGGTCAAGGTTGTCTTCATTCAGTCTCAGTTTTCGCAACAGGTGTGGTTTTATTCCGAGGTGAGCATGTCAGGCAGTCTCCAGGGGCAAAGCTGCACTGGGCCTGTTGGTTCCCAGCGCCCTTCTTTCCCCAGACCTCTCCCAGCAGCGCACTAAGCCTACAGCTGGGGCATCGGAGCCGAGCAGTCGGCTCCTCCGGCGCTAAGGAAAGAACCGCCACCGACACTGCCACCAGCGCCACCGCACCAGGAGTGGAAATGAGCTGCTGTCCTTCGAGGCAGCTTCTGTGCGAAACGCGCCGCAGACACAGACCCGCACCCGCTTCGCCTGCGTGGCGTCGCTGAGTCTCAGGGTCCTTGCTAAAGAGAAAAATCTGTATTACTTTTTAATTGATTGGGTTGAGAAGTGTGAGGGTGTGTATCGACTTGTGGATGAAGGAAGTAGGTACTGACTTGCATATTTATTGAGAAATGTTATTAACTATAAAAAGTAGATTATAAAGAGGTATGCATAGGCTGGTTCCATTTTGTTAAACAATTAAAATGTATTCTAGGTGACAGGCTGCTATAATGATGGTCTCGATGCAGCAGTTTTTAAAATTTTTTAGATTTTATTTTTCAATTACAGTTTACTTTCAATATTATTTTGTATTTGTTTCAGGTGGACAGCATAGTGGTTAGACAATCATAGGCTTTACTCAATGTGTCAGTTTTAATTGACGCAGCAATAGGATAGATTCAGAATCTGTAGGGGACAGGCCTCCATAATCTCCGACTTCAGAAATAAAACGGTCAGGCCCCAGTTTTACAATTCTAGGTTACTTGCCAAAGGAGCCCTCGCTCATGTTGAGAATATGAAGGGGTCAGGATAGTGGGAAAGTGGTTCTCTCATACATTTCTGGTGGGAAATAGTTCTGAAGTTTCTTTAAAAACTAAACATATACTTACCATATAAGCCAGAAATTTCACTCTGGAACATTTATCCCAGAGAAATAAAAACTTGTGTCTGCACAAGAATCTATATGACTGTTCATAGTATATTTATTTGAAATAATCAAAATACCCTTCAAAGGATGGGTAGTTAAACAAACTACATTACATCCATACTTTGGAGTGCTATTCAGCAACAAAAAGGAGTAAGATATTGATGCAGGCAACAAGGTGGATGGATCTCCAGGTCATTATACTGAATGAAAAAAAACCCTCAAACAGTTACATGTATGATTCTATTTATATCACACTCTCAAAGTGATACAATGACAGAGATGGTCAGGGCTAGGGCTGGTGGGGGAGAGGAGGAAGGTGCAGCGATGAGTCTTTATTTGGGTGAAGCAGGCCTGCATCCTGATTGTGGCAGTGCTCACACAAATCACACACGGGAAAGGCCCAGAACTATACTCACATGTATCGACGCCAAATTCCTGGTTTTGACATTGTGCTACACGTGGCCGTGGCCATCGGGGAAAGCTGGGTGAAAGGTACACCAGACCTCCCTTTTGACTCTATGATTATTTCAAAGTAAACAAAAACGTAAAGTCATGAAGAAGATAAACTCTAAAACAACAACCCTATAAACTGTAAATCAATGTTGATCTCAGATCAAAGAAGGCTATAGAAAATATGAAGAAAGAAATGTTAGTTAGTGAAAACTTACCCAAATCACATACTTTTCCCCCACTAATAAAAATTTTAAAAAGAATGCTTTAAGAAGATAATTCCTTATTTTTTGACTTCATGGATGCTACTTTTTAAAAAAATGTATCTTCATTGTTGAAAGTATTACAGATGTTCCCTGTTTTCTTCCCACTGACCCCCTCCACCGCCCGCCCCCCAGGCCTTCCCCACACTATTGTCTGTGTCCGTGGGTTATGCATATGTGCAACTAAATTCCTGGGTTAACCTCTCCTGACCCCCACCCTGGCCCTGTTTTCCCTGAGATTCGTGAGATCCGTTAGTCTGTTCCATGCTTGTATGTCTCTGGATCTATTTCGTTCAACAGCTTATTTTGTTCATTAGATTCCACATGAGTGCAATCATGCGATCTCTGTCTTTCTCTGGCTTATTTCACTTATGGATGCTACTTTTTAAAGTAAAAGTAGTCTTAAAATAATCTAGTAATCATTTTTTTCCAGAACTTTTTCCAAGTCATAGCCAGTTTTATGGCAAAAGGACTATCTCTAATTTATCGGTTCTAGCACCTTAATAGCTACCCAACAAGTCCTGAATAGGCAGAACCATCATTATGAAAAGGAAGAAAGATCAGCAGTTTCTTCTGTGTATCGGCCACTTGCCATTCCCCAGCAAGAGTGCCCACACCACTCAGGTCTGTGAAGGTCACTTTCCCATTCATTGGGAGTGGACAATGACTTAAGTACAAACGCAACACGTTATAAACAATTCTTTACAAAGTCAGTCACAAATTAAACCGAAGTATTTTATAGAATTTACTACAAAACACAATAAAAACTGCCTTCACTTAAGCTCTCTCCCCATATCTGGAGAGGCAACCGAGTACCTTTGGGCGCGACAATGACTCTTAGCACGGGTGGGACACAGCCGCTTGGAATAAACCCGCCAGGTACGCCTCCCCGGCCTCCCGCAGCGCCCCGACAGCGGCACTCTAAAGCCTCAAGCCTGAAACCCTGAGTCATCTCCCTCTCCTGCCTCTGAAAAGGCAGCTTCTGGGTCAGAAGCTCCTCTGACAAAGACCAAGACACTCTGTGCTTTACTCACCTTTTATGAGACTTGAAGGTAACAGAATATTGAGATTTGCCCAAGTTATGCATCCTAAGGGATGAAGTTATTTCTAGAAAACAAATTATTGGGGAAGAAAGGTTTCTGTACTATACTTCTATTGTGCACGAAATGGTTAATAATGTTATTAAATGTGACACTTCTGTGTATTTTTGTACATCGGCTTTAGGTCAAACAGACAGAACCAGAAGTCTTTGTTAAGCTTGACAGACCCGGAGATTGATGGTGAATTCAGCTCCGCTTCTGCTTTACTTGGCTGCCAAGAGATTTCTAGTTGTCACACAACAAACTCAGTGAAGCTGATTGAAGAAATATTTATAGGATGAAACAATCAGTTGAGAGAAAAAATCATGTAATTATCACTGACAATGAATCAAACATGGTGAAAGCTAGGAATGATTTAGGAAGGAACCCCAAGCATATGATGTTGTGTTCTCACACTTCGTGTCCATTTTTTGGTTGCTTCAGGGAGGACAGTAAATCTACTTCCTGATAGTCCTTCTTGACTAGAAGCAGATGTCCCCAGATACTTGCTTTTAAACATACTAATTCATGGAATAGAAACTTTAGTAGAACTTCTGCAGTTGTGATATGAAATTCAGAACTATGGTCGGAAAATTGGTCCTTAAAGTAGAAGAGATTATCTGTTAGTGCTTAAAAATCTTTCTTTAGCCCTGGCCAGTGTGGTTCAGTGGTTAAAGTGTTGGCCTGTGGACCAAAGGATCACGGGTTTGATTCCTGGTCAAGGGCACATACTTGGGTTGCAGGTTCGATCCCAGGCACCATGTAGGGGGCAACCAATTGATGTGTCTCCCTCACATCGATGTTTCTCTCTCTCTCCCTCCCTTCCACTCTCTAAAAACCAGTGGAAAAAATACCCTCTGGTGAGAATTAACAACAAAAAAGAATCTTTCTTTATGACTAACTCTTATATCTTTGTTCTCCATTTTAAAGCCTAAGAACATCTTAAACATTGGAAGTTTTTATTTGTAATGAATTCCATGGGGCTAGGCAGGGCAGCAATGACAGAGCAGTCTTTGTGAGTGTGTGAACTCTAAATTAGTAACAGCCTTTAATTTATTATATAACGTTGAAGTTCTCCGTATCAGTGTTTTAGAGTGGGGCACATTTATTCAATCAGAATCGCCTAATGGACAGAAGACTGACAAGAGGTTCTACTTGTCTAGAGCCTACTCCAGGGTCTACCCCTGAACCAGTCATGTGACCATCCATGCAAGTCACATAACTCCTTTAAATGTTCTTGTTTTTCACCTGTCAAATGATGTGTCTAGATAACATTAATGATCCTCTCAAAATTGCCAACGAATATTTATTCAAAAATTAAATTGCTAAGGGTTATTTATTCAAACCTCTGAAAGAGCTATATGGCAGTAAGGATGGGAATAGAAATTTTGAAAAAAGTGATGAAAGTTTGAGTGAACCCTTATATAAAAAAGGGAGAGTTAGCTGACCAAGGGTGTGCGAAAGGACCTTTGGATGGCTTAGGGGCCAGCTGAGAGTGGGACTCTGGTCTCCATCTTCATTAAGGTGTAGCTTTTCTGCAATAGATCTCAGCAAATATTTTTCTTTTATGTCAGGTCTACTATGTTTTAGTGAGTAGAGAACCAATGAATGAATGAAAAAGACATTAGATGGGAGTTGAGAGCTTGGACTCATTACCTCCAAAGTACATTTCAACCCAGAGATTCTATATTCCTATGAAACATAAGAAGGAAGGTGCAAAGGGCTAAGGGACCAGAGATAAAGGAGAAGTTAATTTCACATCAGAAGAATCAAGGAGGCTTAATAAAGACGGGCTGAACCTTGATGTGTGCATGCCATTTGAGGACAGAGCTGATTGCATGTATCACAATCAACAATCAAACAATATTCTCAGAAGCATGATAACCAGTTCTTGAAGAATAGTATGTATGCATCTTCACATAGATTTTCTTAGGTGGTGGGACTGGAGGTTTCATTTCATATAGTACTTCATAGGTAACTTTCTGAAACTCCTGTTTAGGCACATCAATTTCTCTTCTAAACCTTCCGCTCACAACCGCTACAACTTTTTTCCATCTCTCATCAGCACACTCCTCTCCGAGCCACCCTTCTCCAGCCCTGCCGTCGGTGCAGAAAGAACCAGCCTGTCTGCACTCCCACCCTGCAGCTGCACAGGTCCCTCTCGGAGCACCCGGGCACCCAAACACCCTGCCTGGGCCTCCCTTCCCCCCACAGGGGACGCGCACGGAGCTCTGGCGACATGTGGTTCATTTCTCACTGATCACCTTTCTCCTGAAGTACTGAGAAGGATTTCTGGTGGAAAAAATTCTTCATTGCAATATAATAAAAAATTTTTTGAAGAGTCAACTAAGTGCAGTTGCTTAAAACTAAAATTAAATATGTGTTGTACATAAAAATGCACATGATCTATTGGTAATTTGGTGGAAGGGATGATTGAATAGAGGCTCCTGTAATTTTCCCCTTCACTGCAGGCTGAGTCCTGTTCCTACTAACTGGGTGTAGCAGACGGATGGTCCTGCTGTTCTGAATATGTTGGGCATATTCTCTCCCACATCATTCTAGACACCACCATGCCGCCCTCTGCCTTCTCCCTGCACATCTGTGTGGAGAGCAGACATCCCAGAACATTTAAGAATAACAAGAAGGGGCTATGTACCAGGTCATTCAACACTGAACACTCGACTTCATGTTCTCAAAAGACCCCTGGCTATTGGCTACAGCTCAACACAGGTCCCCTCAAAAGGTCGACAGAGAACCCCAAACTGAAAAGAGGAAAGATTTAAAAGGACCAAGAATATAGAGTTATTTTCCCTGAGAGCAAGAAACAAGAGGAGGATTGACCATTTATATTGACGATCTTCAACCAAATCAACTGCTTCTCCTTCCCTTATCCTGTAACATCAAACTGTCCAGAGAAAAATATAATGGGACCTAACAGGTATTTCTTTGAACTATATTATGTATAAAATACAATGTAACCTAACATATATTTCTTTGAACTATATTACGTATCTATAAATCCATTCTTTTCAGTAATACTATTACAGTATGAAATTTAAGGTAATCGGCTTTCACACTGCTTTAGTAAATGTGATGCAAAAAAATAGAGAAATAGAAACTATCTTACAAATGTGCACAAAATCTAAAAATACGTTTACTTTAGATTTTAATGTGTGTTTAGTTTTCATGTTTCTTTTTCTCCTTCAGTACACAGGCATACATATATGATACCATTATGTTGTACAATAAATGTATAGATCAGTGGCTATTTCAAATGAGCCCACGGAGTTCTGAAAGGAAGAGGAGCGATGGTTCCTATTTTGCGATCAGGGACACTGAAGCACAGAGGGGTTAAACGCCTTCCCCACCACAAGGTCACAGAGGGAATCCATGCTGCGGAGAGAGGGGGCCTTTCCTTCGCCGCACGCTGTTTTATATGTTAACAATCATGCACATGCTAAGCCAATGGATGCTGGCACTTTACATAAATATATGATGATGCAGTGCTATATGTAATAAAAATCTGAAGCATGAAATGTGGAAGCAATTCAAGAAAACAGATCTCACATTTTTGCCTTTGTCAGACTCAGAATCTGACATGCTCTGATTAAAATTCAACATCTGCAGGCATTTAAAATTAAAATATACAGGTATTCGTGTTTTCCTCCTTCCACAATGTTTTATTGCTGCTTTTTTTCATCTTAAATATTAAAAACATTACATTATTTTATTTCATATGTCGAACTTCATGTCTCAGTATATTACACATTGCCCTTTCACCCTGAGCTCTGGTTCAAATCCAGCTCTGAGCGGAGGAAATAAAAAACATCTGAAAATATTCAGCAGACGCATCTCAAGGCCTAATGGACTACAGTTTACATTAACTTGACAAACACAACAAACAA